ATCCGTTCGTGATCCGTTTGACGAGTTGATTAGAATCAACTAAAAGCCAAACCTATCCGCCCATTAGGTTGTGGTGTTCAGACGAACTTCACCAACGGTACTCTACATCATCTCAGAGTCGGCAAAAATTTTAAAAAGGTAAACGTCCATATCCTAACTATAGATTCTGCTGCGTTAGGATTTATTTCGATAAAGTTCAATGTTGTGCACGTTGTTTGACGTTCCTAACAGAACCCAACAAATGACTCAATACGAGGGAAAAAGAACAGAAAAATAATCACGAAAATTACAACAAAAATGGGACAAACAACTCCCCCGAACTTAAACCTTTGTTCGTCCCGAACAAAAAGAAAAGAAAACAAGACACGAGCATGGATACGGTTTCAAATAAGAAGAGTCTCAAAATGCTCAATTCAATTGAGTCGAATTCCAACGAACATACGACCATATGCCTCAAATATCGACTTGACCTCGAAATGACAAACTCTCAACACATAGATCATCATATATGCCTCACTCATTTTTCTCACATAAATATATGACAGGCATGCTCAAAATTGGTCGATATTCAAGTTTCAACATATGCTTGTCAATCGTTTAAATTACTCGAAAAACAATCAAAGCACAAAGGTGCGAATCAAGAGGACTTCACGGGTTGTAATGTGGGCTAAGGAAAAGGTAAGGATATATATATAGACAAGAAGCTCAGTTAGACAATCAAAGTTCTCGAGTAATAGACTACTCGAATATCTGCTACTCATCCAAATCAACAAGGAAAAACACATATACCGTCCCCAACAACTCCATAAACAACTAACTGCTCTGATTGAATTGTAACATCACTTGACCCATTTTTTTGTATTATTTTTTTTTTTTTTATTTAGGGAGTGACTTTTTCCAAACAAGATCGAATCAAAAGGACAACATTCTGTAGGTGTAAACATTGGAGGTCATCCAAGTGTCCTACAGTAGTTTCTCAATGCTCATTACCCGTCAACGTGAATCGACTAGTAAGAGGAGCAGAATCCATTCGAATCGTCCTGTGAGCTCTCATGTTATTATTTTTTTT